AAGACTTCACCGCCACACCAACGTTCCAGCCTCCACCACGTCTACCAAAGAGTCCAGAAGGCCGGCCGTAGCCGCACACGTCTCCCCCAAACGGTGAGTCACCACTGGGAGTCCGGTGACTCACCAAAGGGCATTCTTCGGACCGGTCTGAGACGAACACCGGTGATGGCTATAAAGCCATCACCCCATCTGCAAGCAAGAAAGGACAGAGAAGGAAGACAGAGAGAGAGATACAAAGAAACAGAAAAGAAAGAAAAGAAAAAGAAAGAAGAGAAACTTACTGTCATCGGAGAACCCCAACCGCCACCGGATCTCGCCAGAATCTTCGAAACGCCGAAGGTATTTTTGTAGATTCGCTCCGATTCAGAGCTTTTTAAGGGAAGAGAACACCGGGACCGTCCTTAGGACGGTCCGATCTACCCAATAGTATAAAAATAAAATTTTCCGGCCACCGGATGCGGTGGCCGGCGGTGACGGTCACGGCGGCAGACGGTTGCCGTCCGGTGACCGGCTTCCCTCCGGTGAGGGAAGCTAGAGAGAGGGGAGAGCTTTGTTCATTCTCTCTCAGTTAGAGAGAGAATGAAAATTGAAAAATGAAAGAGATGGCCCGAAGGGCCGGCTGTCTTGGGTATTAAATAGCCCTTCCCAAACGACGCTGTTTTGGGGAGGGCTATTCGTGTAATTAAAGAATAGTTAAATCATTTCCGCAGCCATCTAAACTTGTAAACTTTACATTTTAGTCACTAAATCGAGTTTATAATACTTTTAATTCAGATCTTTAATTTTAATTTCATTTATTTTAGTCCTTTATATTAAAATAATATATTTAGGATAAATAACAGATTTAATCCCTTAATTTTAATAAATAATATTTTAATCCCTAGTTTCTATTTTTAATTTATTTTATTCTTATATTCGAATTTTAAATAATTTTATTTTAGTCACTAAATAAATAAAATAAAGAAATAGCATGTTTAATCCCTATAATTTTGATTAATTATGAATTAGGTTTTTAATTTTATTTTTACTATAATTTAGTCATTTATTTTAAATGTTTTCATTTATTTTATTGCTTTTAAATATATTGTTCTAAGTTGTATTTTTATTTTTACTTGTTTATATTTTTAAATATTTTTATTCATAAATATATATATATAATAAATAATAATTTTTTTAAATAAATTATTTTAATATTTATTTTTCAATATCGAAGAAAAGGACAGTCTTAATACAACTGGATGTCCTATTCTGGTATTTTAAAATTTAAAAATTATAAAAAAATATTATTTAATTTAAATTAATATTTATCAATATCAAAGAAAAGAGCTGTCTTAAGGCATCTAGAAGTCATTTTCCGATATTTTTAAATATTTTTTATAATTTTGAAATAATAGGATTATAAATTAAATATATTTTGAATTTTCAAATTTTTAATAATAGAGACAATTTATAATTAAAAAATACCAATTTTGGGCGTTGTAGGGGTGCTAATCCTTCCCTAAACGTAACCGACCACGGATCCCTTTTTATTATTAAAATGAAAATTTTTTTTGGTTAAAACGCAGATCAGTTCATCTTGTAACTGATGTTTTCTTAAAACTCTTTTAAAAGATTTTTTTAGGTATTCGACCTACCTGACCCAAAAGGCCGATGGCGACTCCCAAATTATTTTCAAAACCATTTATTCACATAAATTTTCCCGTCAAGTAAATATTTCGTGCCCGGACGAAAACCGGTTACGACAGATAATGCATTAATTTGATGAGAATTTACATAACTTGAACTAAGCTTGCAATATTTGATAGGTTCAGGTCCTTGATTCGTTGAAAGTTTGCGATTAAAACACTAGAACTACTTCAATGTCAATGCACTTATTTATATCCTGCAATGCCTTTTATTAGTCTTTCTAGGATGATTCGATATGATTTATTAACGGCAATGCACTTGTTTATATTCTGCAGTGCTTTTTATTTAAGTTTAGGGTTGGGAAGAATGAAGCAGCTTGGTCGATTTTTATTCTTTCAGTGATAATTTGATATGATAGCGATGCAACGTTTAACTAGGATGAGTTGTTTAAAGGTTTACCTTTCTGGTTATAGTATGTGGCTTGAAACTAGCTATAACCCCTTTGAAAGTTAGCATTTGTGTATGCAATACACCGCTAACTTTTTGTTGAAGTATCGTTGTCCAACGCATTGATATGGAGATATGATGTCTAGGGATCCTCCAAATACATGGAAAACCATTGAAAAATTACCCATACCCGCGTCAGATACATGCCTATACCCTAAACTCACATCCAAGTCCAATTAACTTGAAGTGGTTGTTGGCTTCTTGATTTATTAGTAGCCAAAGTTGATATTTGATGTAATAAACTCCATACAGGCAAAAGTATCAACTGTTGTTTTCTTTCTTCATTGTTTTAACCATTAAATGGAAAAAAAATATCAGCAAAACAAGAATAGCCCACTAGATCCTCTCTCAAAATCCCACCTATTGGCTATAGCTATCTTTTTCCTTCTTCATTTATCATAAATCAAGTGTACCAAATTTCAATAATAAATAAATGGAAACTCTAATAACCAATTTCCCCTCCAGTCCGAAAATCTTACCAAGAATCAAAATTACTGTTTTGTTCAACCACACCATTTTGAGAGAAGAATTAAGAAAACAATAAGGAAAACTATTGAAGAAAGACCAATTGCAACACCAAGAACAACCTTATTTGGCCCATGATGTTGATCCTTCTTTTCACCTGTGTCATCTGCACTATCATCCTCATCATAATCTGAAGAATCACTAACACTAGACCCCTTAGAAGGAGGAGGTGACATTGCCAATCCATGCTTATCACAAGGAGCAATCCCAAGCTTCAATTGTGATGATAGAACAGAATGATTGTAACACAAATTGCTATCCCCACCAACCTTGAAAACATCTAGTTTCTTTATGAAACTAGTATCGAAAGGCAAGACACCATGAAGCTCATTGTTCTCAAGTTTCAACACTTTCAAGCCTTTCAACTCTGAGAAAAACCTTGGGACAGTGCCATTGAACTGGTTATTACTCAGATCAACATGAACCAAGCCTGTTATAGCTGATATAGAATCTGGGATTGACCCAGAAAATGAATTGGAAGCCAAAGATAGATTCTTTAATGATATCAAGTCACCGAACTCAGTTGGAATCACCCCATTTAGGCCATTTGAAGAAAGGTTCAAGTACTCAAGATCATCAAGAAGGGTAATGGAAATTGGTATGTTCCCTTTGAGCTTGTTATCAGATAAATCAACATGGGTCAGATTCTGACGCAGGTGTCTCGGAAGTGAACCGGTGAGATTCTCGGAAGTGAACCGGTGAGATTAGCATGAGAAATGGTTAAAGTCTTCAACTTGTGCATATTCCCAAGGATCACATAAAGGCCGGTGGTGTTAACCGGAGTGAAAGAAACTGTGAGATCGGTGAGGTTAACGAAATGCGAGAGCCAGACGCCGGTGAGGCGGCGGAGAGATTGAATGCAAGAGAAATAAGTGAGGGAAAGGAAGAGATCGGAAGGGAAACGGATAGGGGAAGTGTGACAGTTAGTGAAGGAAAGTGAATGAAGTGAAGATAGGGACTTAAGAGCTGTGAAGGAGAGGGAAAGATCGGCGGAGCAGTTGGAGAGGTGGAGGGAAACAAGGTGGCGGAAGGGCTTGGAGCTGTGGCATACGGTGGCCTTGTGAGGCGAAGGTTGAATGCAAGGGTCTCTTGCGGTGGGAATGTTGAGGGATGCGAGTGCTTCTATTTGTTTGGGGTCTAGAGTAGACGAGGAGGAAGAAGAAGGTGTTTCAGTGGTGTCAGAGACCGCGGAGACGGCAATGTGGATGAGGAAGAATGATGGTGGTTTCATGGTCGGAAGTGTGTGAGTTTTCAGTGATGTTGGAACTTGGGAAGGTAAGCGGAGAAAGAGGAAGACAACAAAGAAGTGTTGGGGGGGGGGGGTTATGTTTCTTTATGTCATTCATGAGTGTACGACAAACAAACAAGCGTCAAAGTAATATTTTTTAAACTTTTTCCACGTAGGTAATTTCAAAAAGTAAATTAAACAAAATTTTAAGACCAAATCTAAAAGCTTGTCGGTTAAAAAGAGCATGTGTATATATATATAAGAATATCTGGGGTAAATAAATTTTTAGTCCCTAAATTCGCTAAACTTTCTTTAATTTGACCCTAATCATTTTTTCATATCAGTTTTGATCTTTTTGATGATATGATACTCCAAAATATCACATCACCAAGGGAGATTAAAAATGAAAAGAAGTTGCCAGGTTTAGGTATTAAACGAACTAAATAGAATTTTAGGATCAAGTTGAAAATAAATGTCAAATTCAGGGACAAGAGTTGCTTTATCCCAATATACATTTGTAAGCAGGATTTACGTGGCTTCCAGCTTCCTCTTTCTTTAGCACCTCCACCGAAGTGGTAACTTTTCCATTTGATCCAACCTTCTCTAAATTACAAGGAAAGCACTAAGATGAACCCTTGGTTTCCTTGCAAGGGCTTTAACTTGTTTATTACAAGGGACTTCATTCGTGGGAACAAATGTTCTTTTTTCATTAATGACTTAAATTATGATCAATAAATTCATATAGTTACGATTAAAATCTATCGTTAAATATAACAATCGACAAAGGAATATTAAGACTACAAGCTTTTGTTTTGCCTATCAGGATTCTTTTCTTAATATTTACACTAGAATCTTATGCTACTTCCCACACATTCTTAATCATGTGTGGGCCTAAGATCTTGGTTTCGTTTCCATTACACCAGCAAGGGAGTACGAGACAACACATAATTTTATGTTCGATAAAATGAACTTTTAAAATTTTAGTAGAGAATGGATTTATAAAAATTCAAAAAACTAAAAATAGAGAATACAAAGAGGGTGATTGCTTTACTTAGATTTTCTGCTATAAATGTCATTTTCAGTGGAAGATTGAATGAAAATTGGAACGGGCATAATCTGCAGACTAGTACACAGTTCATTTCAAGTAATTTCAATGAAAAATAGCTCATAGCATTGCATAGAAACACTTGCACACTTCTGAGAACAAAATGCGCACATACAAATTTGTTCAAAACTTAGACCATACACATATTTCAGTCCACTTAAATGCAATGGTTCACTTTTGAGAAAAAAAACAATAACATGTCATCAGCAATCAATGGAAATGCAGCTCGACGTCAGGGCGGTGCTGTCGCCGGTGTTGACAAATGGGTTGATCCGGACCCAAACAAGGGAGAACACGGAAGCCAACAGCACCGACCAAAGAACAACGATGGTTGGTGTCCTGTTTTGTCTACCCATGAGACCTTTGAGGAATGGATAAAGATGTAGGATGACCCAGAATGAAAAGAACACTTTTCCAAAGAGTGGCCCCCAAGCTTCGTACCCTTTGTTGAGTGCGTCGGAGAACCCGGCTACGACACCGACCAGGTTGACGATGAGAAGTGTCGTCGGCGGGATCAAAAGTGTTGTCCATTTCACAATGTAGAGCTCACCAAACTCTGCATCATCGGCTGCTTTGGCAGTGACAGTGAAGTTGGTGTCAATACCTGCCAGCATCTTCAGTATACCTTGGAAGACAGCAAAGAGATGGGCTGAAACACCTCCGATGACCCAAAACTGCTCGTTACGCCATAAGTCCTCGATGCTGACACCGCTCCATCGGAGCTCGAGCACAGCGGTCAAAATAATGGACATGAAAAGGCCAAGAAAGAGAACGCTTGCCAGGTTTGAGAGCTGATCATCATATTAGACAATGTGAAGCAACGTAAGCTCTTATTGTCTTGAAAACTAAATAAGAATGCATGATTTACTAGCAATCATTACCGTCGGTATGATGAATTTTCCGGTGAGAAGACAGATTGCAGGCAGAGAACAATAGGCAATGAGAGGAAGGGATGTGAAAGGATAGACAATGGTGTTGATATATGCTAGCCTTTGAAGCCATTTAAGACGACCGCCTCCAAAGCCATACCATAGAGGACAATGCCTGCTTAGGAAAATTTCGACCGATCCAAGAGCCCATCGAAGAACCTGGTGCAGCCGATCAGACAGATTGATCGGTGCAGATCCTTTGAATGCTGGCCTTAAGGGCATGCAGTAAATCGATCTCCATCCTCGGCAGTGCATTTTGAAACCGGTTAAGATATCTTCAGTGACCGAACCGTATATCCATCCGATCTGAACAAACATATAGATCATAAGCAAGGAGATTGAAGTTGAAAATGAGCTTAGAGCATTTTATGTTTCATATTAAAAAATTCCAACCTCTTTTCCCCATGTAGTCTTCTCTTCATAACCGCAACTAATGACATGAATTGCTTCCTTGATTAGTGTCGAAGGGTTGGCAGATTCAGCCACTCCTCCATTATCCATTAGTGTTGATTCAATGAAGACTGAAGATAAACCAAAAGTTTTTTCGAAGCTTGTTTGAGAGATCAGCATTGATCTTTCATACTCATCATAGTCTGCAGGAACAAAACCGGAGATATGTCAACAATTCAACAATGGCTCAGTAAAGTATAAGTCTAACTTCAATTTTCTGAAAGATTTTAGACTTACTTTCGATTTCCCTAAGGTTAAAAATAGCAGCATCGAGTTCTTCTCGTTTTGCATCCCTATAAAGCTCTGATGGATCTTTAGGTTCCTTCTTGCCTGGGCAGCAGCATGAGCAGCTGCCACACCATGAGCAAGATGAGCTGGACTTGGGCAAGCTGGGCATTGAAGGTGGTCCATAGCCATAAAGTGCTTGCCTATTGAAAACACAACCTGTTCCGACATAAACTGGTCCTTGAATTCCATCAAGACCTTTCATGTTAACCTGAAGTTGAGAATTCGGAAGAATTGTCAGAGCTCAAGAGGCTTATGCTTATAACTAAATCAAGAAGAAAAATGGTTTAGATTTGATCTTACATCGAAGAAAACCGTGTTGCGATTGGCATATCGATCACTCCTATCTATGCCATCAAATCTTTGAGGAAACTGCACATAGCATACATCTCGACCAACTTGCGGGTCCATCAGGAAGCACATTGCCTCCCTAACTGCCTTGCTATTGTTAACATAGTGATCACAATCGAGATTGAGGATGTATGGAGCATTTGTAAGAACTGCAGACACCCGAACCTGTAACAAGCTATTCGTGTAAGTTGCGAATCGCAATAGAATATTTAATAATTTTTATGCAGCCAGGTATTATGATAAGTATTACTCACCAAAGCATTTTCAGCACCAGCTTTTTTGTGGTGTTGGTAACCCGGTCTCTTCTCTCTAGAGACATAAACCAATCGGGGAAGTTCATTTCCTTCGATGTCACGGGCACCACTATATCCAAGGAACACCTGAATCATGCCAGGGTGATCACGCGTGTTATTTCCTGGCCAAGGCGTTCCGTCTTGCATTGTCCATCCTTCTTCAGGTGTTTTCTGAGCCTTGGCAACTAGTGCATTAATCCGGATTTTGAACTCTTCATAGTCTCTCTGCAATCGAATCGAAACGATATATTATTAAATGAAATATGGTATTGAGCCCTATAACTTCTAATATCACAGTGCTCCAGATATTCAAGAAATGTAGCAAAAGAAAGCTTGAGGAACTTACTTTCATTGCTCTACGTTCTTTTACGAAAGAGGGCTGCACTTTGTCCTTCAGGTAATCAATCTTCTGTGAGAAGTAAAACTCCGGTGCCCGTGGTTCAATTGAGAACTTTTTGCAGAATGGAACCCACTTTCTTGCAAAGTCAGCCGTTTCGACTAGAGATTCAAATGACAGCATTGCGGCACCATCGTCAGATACATAACAAGAGACCTTATCCACAGGGTAGTCCAGGGCAAGGATGGAAAGCACGGTATTGGCAGTGATCAATGGAGGTTCTTTCAATGGATCCACTGTACTCACAAAGAAGTCCACTGCAGCAAGTTCAGAAGGTTCGCCTTCTCTTTCGTATCTGCCATAGTCCCCGAAAAACAAATTCCATCTCAGATACTTATTTCACTAGTAACTGATACAAACAAGCTTAGTAACAGACCGTATATTACATAGTTATGATCCTGAATCAGCTGAAGTAAGATAACTCATGTTATTAGCATCATTAATGATATGTCTGAAAGTATTTGATTCACAGATTTGTACCTTTCCGATAGCCTGTCAATGTATGTTTCCCTGTCAATAGGATACCACTTAGGGAACTGATCCAACACCCAGGAAAAGGCAAACCAGATTTCACATATGACTGAAGTGAGCCACAGGGGAAAAGCACTGTCGACAGGATTGGTTACTCGGTAATGGAAGAAAAGACCGAGAATGATCAATCGCATAACGATCACAGTTCGGTATGGCGCAAGTCTGCTTTTCGGAATTGGAATTATAGTCGAGAGGGGCTGGGAGAAATCCGGTGCCCTGAAAATACAAATGTTACATATCAGTAAGACTTGCCATAAACACAAACACTGCATTAAATAGAATCTTATCATTAATCTGCTTTTTAGTTAAATACTAACGGTTTATCTTCCATTTGTTGCTCAGGTGGGACTTGAGCTTCTGTGTCAGCCTTGGTTTTTGCAGGCTTTTTCTTCTTGTTCTTCTTTTCTTTCCAACTTTCCACCCGATTCTTCCAAATCGGGTTCCCGTTGTCCTCGGTCATTTCTTCATGAAAACATCAGACAAAACCATTAGACCTTTACAATTGTATCATTTCTTGAAGGAAAATATTATGGAAGAGATTGATATTACATACCACTATCCAGTGTAGATACACTGCTGATATGTCTTGCATGAACCCCAACTTCCTGCATAAACGAACAAGAGAATAAGAGAGCTATTGGTATTCTAACAATAAATTACCTTTAACAGTACCTGAGACTTGCTCAAATGTGCAGATTGATCGGCGGATGCCTTCTCTGCATCGTCCAACAGGTTCTCTGAGGAGTGAGGAGTTCACAGTGGGAAGTCAAGCAGTCAGGTCAAAACATTAACCCATGACAAAGAAACTTGTTAAAAACTAAACAGGTTCAATCAGTTTACAACTTCTCTATGGGAAAATGTAACAAGCATTCATCAAGAACCAAATGGAAATGAACTTAAAATGTAGAAACTAGCATCAACAATCAAAAGAAGCATACCGTCGTACGGACTAGCGCACCGGAGACAAGCTTTTCGACCTTCCTTGAGGTCATACTCGAAACAATTCTTGCAGATGGGGAAGTTGCATTCATGGCAAGCCACAAAGGGTTCACCATTGGCATTCAACCCAACATTCTCACCACAAGTGTGGCAAACCGGAGCCCCGGATTCCATCATCTCTGTAAGCACTCGTCTCTAACCCAAATCTACAATAAGCTAGGCAATGGTCTCAATCCTTTGTGTCTGTTTGTGTTTTATATGAAAGAAACAAACCCAAAATGGGAGATGACAATGTTGTAATGGTGAAGAAAGGTTGAAGTAAGGCGTTTGGTGGCATATGGAAGGTGAGTTGTTGGTGTCATGTATTTGCAGAGAGATCTGACAAGCAAAGCTTACACTTTTTTTGCAAGGGAAAGAGAAGTTTGAAATATAGCGGGAAGTTGAAGGAAGCTTTCGGTTGGGCAATGTACATCCTCAACTAACTAGCTTTTTGCCAACCATACATAATATTAATTTTTTGCTTTATTTACCGTCTCCTGGATTTGGAGAATTCAACTCATGTAAGAAAATATCATGAATTGGATTGAGAGGCAAATAAGTATTATTCAACTGGATTTACAATCTAACCAATTAAGATAAGTAGGATCAACAAAGGGTTAATTGCACTTGGCATCCTAAAATTATTGATGAAATTCTAAATTGGTCCCTGAACTTCTAAACATTCTAATTGAGCATTCAATATAAAGTTCCCTTCTGTCGATCTAGCCGTCAGCATGTTCATTTATAACGTTAACACCGATGCCTAGACTGATACTTCAGTTTTAGGATTTAATTATAATGTTTTGAAGTTTAGAGATCAATTTAGAATTGACATATGGTTCGGGTAAAAAAAAGGCTCAAGGCAGTAGATCAAAATGGAAGATGTATGACACCAAACCAAACATGTGCTAAAATTAGGTCAGACTACATAGTCATAGCTGGGGCCATGGGGTGAAACTGAAACCTTCTCTTTTGGACATTGATTTTGCCACCCAAGATTTGCAAATTTGATCCCTATCTTGTTGAAGAGTTATTTTTATATCAGAAAAGTCATGTTCAAATAATAAAAAATAAAGCAGAATGATTAAATGATTAAACTCATTTGGTTATTTAACCTCATTACCATGGTACATTGCTTATATTTGTCTCATTCTATTTTCTTCAACAAAGATACACTAGTTAGAACCAATCACTACAAGCTGTGCTCGAATCGTTGCGGATATATCCTCTTAATCGAGGTTAGTGCCAGTGGAGCAAAGCCTATCTTGATCGATCGTGATGTCTATGCCGAGTTGTAGGCCTTCACTACTTTGGTTGTCACAGATGACAATGTTGTCCGATTCCGAAGGAGTCGTACATAGCCAATTTACCTAACAAAGAACGATGTTAAAGACGAGAGCTTCGAAGAGAAATGGAATGCATTCGATACAAGAAGCAACAAGCCTCACCTTTTTGCTTAAATTGATGTTCAAATGTAGAAGCTCATTGTTATCTCCAATCTGCCATGAATCAAGACACTTAGAGCAAACCCATACTTCGATCAACTTATCATTCCCGCCTGATACTAGAAACCTCCCCCTCTCTCCGAACAACGAAAATGCCACACAAGACACTGCAGCAGTATGACCACCTAGAGAGTAATCTAAATGCAACCATTTAGTTCCATTTTCACGGGGATCTCCACCATCACTGCCTTTGTACACAGACTGAGTTCCTTTTCGAGATTTCATGTAACATTTAGGCTTCATGGTTGTAAGTTCTGATTCCATATCAATCACATCAATAACACCATCACCCCTAGCCACAACACATATCTTGCCTAATTTGTCCAACATATCAACTTCTGGAACTTTTATTGAGTGAACAAAAGCTGGATTTAAACATTGTCCAGCATTACTACCACTCCTCATGTCAGGCAAGCCTGCAGGAAAGGCGGCAAAATCAGAGAAATTAATCAGTAATGCACTGACCTTATATTTGATTAGAATAATCATAATGAGGATCAAATCAACGACTTAATGTGAAGATGCACCACCTTAAGTTTATTGTCCGTGATAGTATAAAATTGTTGTGAATATGACATAATACTTGAAGATCAACGAAACTAAGAGTTCAAGACATACATACCAAAATCTACGATTTTGAGCGGGGGCCCTTTTGATAAGTCCCATGTGATAAGCTTTGAATCAAGACCACCAGTAATGACTGCCAAATCAAAATCAAAATAATAATATTATCAACCCTCCAATGACGTTCTAACTGTAATGGAGAGCTAAGAAAAACTGTGTACCAGTAAACTTGGCTGTGAAGTTTACATATATTACACACAAATTTAGTTGGAGAGATTTAAAAGAGTACCATAAAACCTTAGACTACCTTCCCAAGGTCTCCAAGGAATGAATTGGACACTGCTGCAGATCTGTGATGTATTAAGGTGAGGACATGAAAGAAGACTAGCTGAAAAAGGGGGCTCGAAATAAAACTTTCCAGAATCCAAATACACATTTGTTTAACAAAAAAATGAAACAGATAAAAGATTTTGAGAAAAAATATGTCAAGAAACGAGATTCAGAGCCAGGAATTTCAGTTAATAAACCACATGAACATTTATGCAATTATATGCTGACGGACAATAAGAAAAAGCAAATGGCTTAAAGAGCAAGGATACGCTAGTATGTCCAGATCTCAAGGTCTTGGAAATACGTTTCTGGCGAATGTCTATGATCTGCAACACATGTTACCATACAAGGTTAAAATGTTAAAAATTCCCATTATCGATTACATAAACCGACAAATAAATTCTTCATTTGAATGATAATTTATATTTACAAACATATTGTAGATGACTAAACTAAATAAAATCGAATACCTTAATCCCACCACCATCATCGGCAGCAGCAAGGAAAGATGATTTGGAATTACAAGTAACCTGCATAAGCATAAATATAAAAAATAAAATATATGTATAAATACTAAACTTTAAAATTCATAAGCTAAAGCATTCTAAAAGTTCATTTCCAAAAGAATCTCTACCTGATCTATCTCTTCTTTATTATAATTATAACTCTCCAATGGCTTCCTCGAGTTATCTGCTAACTATAAACGAACCATGCTTAAGCAAATTTTAAATGCAACGAAAGCAAAAACAGTCAAAACGAAGATGAATTACCATATGCACATCAAAGCAACCTCATTTCCAGCAGAAACATAGATGATATTCTCATTGCCTACATTTGACGCCGAAATTCAATAATAATAAGTAATTCAAACAAAACTTAATTTGAAAATGAAATAAGAAATGACTATATATATATATATATATATATATATATATATATATATTATAGTTTAAGATGATTATAATATAGTATTTATTTATATTATTTTATTATTAACAATTTAACACATTCTATAAATATAATTGTTTAAATCTAAAACTTCTAAATAAAATTAAATAAACCATAAAATTAAAGGTGTTATGATTTGATTTTATTAATTATAAAAAAATTGAAGGATCTTAAAGAGTAAATAAACAAAAAATTAAAACTCAGAATTTTATTTTTAAACTAAAAGGGTCTTAAATATAATTAAACCAATAAATTTGAGAGGGACAATGACTTAATTGAAATAATTTCAAAAATATTAGTAACCCAAAACCAATTAAACCATCAAAGTTGGGAAACAATTGCCCCTCCCACCTCCCATGTAGTTCCGTGTTATACTTTTTGTTTAGATCCATGTAGCCCGGGAAACAAAATCAACTCATCATCAAGGCATGGATCAAATTGAAAAAACTTTGCTTTTATTAATTGCAAATCACACACTTCGCCGTTTCTATGTCCTACAGTGGTTGGTTATTGGCGTCTACGAACAGAGGATTTGTGTTAGGAGTGAATTTAAATTTTTAAAATTTTAGGGTGAAAATATATAAAAAAAAAAGTCGAAAACATGTAGTATTCTTCTATTAACAAGTGATAATTTAAAATATGCACGAGGACGAAAATATATTTTCGATAAAAAATACATAAAAAAATTAAAAAATTAAAAAAATATCCATGATAATTTTATGTCAGGGTTCATGATATAATTTTTCCACAGAGACATAGTTGAGAGTTGTACAATTAAGGATGTCTACGCATTGGGGATAACAATGGTTAGATGCTCATATAAGGCTTCATTTTTTAGAGATTTATAAAATGATTCGCCGGCGATCTGCTCCAATTTCTTCTCTGTTCATTACTGATGTTCTTCTTCACTTTGGTTCTGGTTAGTTGCGCTTCATTGCTAGATAAATGGATTGGTGTAAGTTGTTTGGAGGCTCGACTGATCAAAACCTAGATTATTTTCCTCCCAATCTACGCGATGGTATTCCGACTGTCTGTCTGCCTTCAGAGATCCTCGAAGAAGGTATTTCCGAGTGGAGGCTGCCCCTAGTGGGCCAATTCCTGGGAGTTGCTCCAAGCTTCACCTCTCTTCATCGGACAATGGAAAGCTTATGGAGTAAAGCTCTGCTGGGATCCCAATTACAGGTCAATTCCGCTGGGAACAATATCTTTGTTTTTTTCCTTTAGCAGTGAATCAGCTAGAGATTGGGTATTGCAAAACGGTCATTGGCATGTGCATAACAAGCCCTTAATCCTTAGGAATTGGGAGCCTAACCTTAAAAGACTTAGTTTCAGCTTGTCTAAAATCCCAGTTTGGGTACACCTGTTCAATGTTCCCCTTGAATTATTTTCTAGAATAGGATTAAGTTATATTGCAAGTGCCATTGGAGTTCCTATCTCCATGGACACTATCACTGCTAAGAAATCCATACTTGAATTTGCAAAAGTCTGTATAGAAATAGGCGTTAAAGATGATATTCCTAAGCTCATTGAGGTAGTTCTAAAAGATAGGCAAACAACCTTGATTAATGTTGAGGTTCCTTGGCTCCCACACTATTGTAGAAGGTGTAATGTTTTTGGTCGCAATGAAAAAGGTTGTGTTCTTAAAACTACCTCTAACCAAATTGTCCCTCAAGTCTGGAAGAAGAAGACAACAGCGACCACTCATGTTGGAGGGATAGAAGTATTGCAAGAACCTGAGAAATTTGCGTGCCATTTTACTGCTGCTGCTGAAGTAAATTTACAAATTATCAATGACTCAATTGATGCAGCTAAGAAGGATATTGTTGTTGGTAGTGAAGTTAATGCAAGGTGTAAGGAGGTTGCGATTGAAGTTAATGTCCCTGATCAAATTGAAGAGCTTAATTTCGCTAATGATGTTGCTGCTAAGAATTCAACAGAAGATGATGCTGCTGTCTCGAGCAGTGTTAATGTTCCTACTTCAGATCACGTAATCCATGAGCCAACTGAAGCCAATGAAGTAAGAAATGTACAATCATCAGTGATTAAAAGGGGAAGAGGAAGACCATTGAAAGAAAATGCTAAAACTCAGTTTTCAGGTTCATCCATCAGATTTGAACTTCTCAATTATGCTGAAGAGATTCCTAATAGTATAGAAAGCTTCCAAAGGAAACCTAGGGCTGCATCTTTGGGAGTAGTAGAGTTAGTGAAAGAACTAAAATAAAAAAAGAAGCATCATCTTGAGAGAGCTAAAGGCATCACGTCTGGAGGTCAAGGGGGTTATTTAGGATCGCCTTCTCAATGATAATTAGTTTTTGGAACACTAGAGGACTCAACAGTCCCTTAAAGTAGAATAAAGTGGTTATTCGAGCCACTCAGAATAATGTTGACGTCCTCTGCTTATTAGAAACAAGAGTGAAGGTGGACAAAGCAGATGCGATCGTTGCTTCTAAATTCCAGAACTGGAATTTCTGTTTCAACTACGACCATGCTAGTAATGGAATAATTTGGGTTCTTTGGAGGAAGGGTATTAACCTGTCTGTTATTCAAAATTCTGCTCAATGCATTACTGTTAGAGGATCTCATCGAGGTACTCCAATGATTATTTCAGCTATATATGGTAGTAATGATGGTACTGCTCGAAGACAGTTGTGGCAAACATTAAGAGAAGTTGATCTTACTGTTAACAAGTCTCCTTGGGTTTTAGGAGGAGATTTTAATATTATCATGCACTCCCATGAAAGCACTGACCATGAAGTCCTTGGCCATTATCTCACCTCAGATATGAAAGATTTTCAGGACTTAGCTCATGAGCTTGAACTCCATGGCCATCATTATTTTGGCCCTTCTTATACCTGGACCAACAAGCAAAAAGATTTTTTTCTTGCAAGGAAACTAGACAGGGTCATGATAAATTCTTATTGGGCTACTATCTTCCAGCACTCTTTTGTTGAGTTCATTGCACCAGGAGTCTCTGACCACTGCATGTCTCTAACATGGCTATTCAAAGAAATTTCTGCTAATAAGCCAAAGCCTTTTAAATTCTTCAATTTTTGGGTTGCTCATCCAAGCTTCATAAATGTAGTAAGTCAATCTTGGCTCCAACCTACTCATGGCAATCCTATGCAAATTCTCTTTACTAAACTTAAAAGACTCAAAGAGTATCTTACGAGATTTAATAAGGAGAATTATAGCATGCTCTCGGATCGAGTCAAGCTTAAAAGAATTGAGCTGGAAAATCAACAACTTCTCACTTTAAAGGGACATGAAACAATCGAGAATGAGCTTCTTTTACAAGAAGAGTTGTATACTTTGGAAACTGCCAAAGTTGTATTCCTTAAGCAAAAGGCAAAAGTGCAGTGGATCAAAGATAGGGATAAAAACTCCAAATTTTTCCATTCAACGATTGCTTTTAAAAACACGAGGGATATTATCCGTGTTCTTGTTGATGATCAAGGCTATAGATTGGAGTCTTTTGAAGCAATGTCGAAAGAAATTGTCTCAATTTATTCTAATCTGATTGGAACAGCTGACAACATGGTCAAAGATATCGATCCTATCCTTCTTAAAGATCTTCTCAATTACTCATTGCCTTATGAAGCTTCATCTAGCCTTGTTAAGGAAATTACTAGAGAAGAAATTCAGAAAGTTGTATTTTGCCAAGGCAAGGATAAAGCTCTGGGACCCGACAGCTTCACCCCTTTATTCTTTAAGAACTCTTGGAATATAGTGAGCGAGGATGTTGTTGCTGCAGTTAAGTTCTTCTTTCATAGTGCAACAATTCACCATGCTTTTAACTCAACCATTATTGCTCTTGTTCCTAAAATTCCAAATCCGAGTGCAGTTAAAGACTATCGTCCAATCTCTTGTTGCTCTGTCATCTATAAAATCATTACAAAGATCATTGTTAGAAGATTGACTGATTTTCTCCCGGATATTATTACTTTGAACCAAACGGCTTTCATCAAAGGAATGATCATTATTGATAATTCCCTCCTTGCACAGGAGATGGTCAAAGGCTATGGAAGAAAATCCATTTCCCCGAGGTGCGCACTGAAGATTGACCATCATAAAGCTTTTGACTCCATTCACTAGGGATTCATCATTCAAATACTTAAAGCTCTCAATCTCCCTCTTGCTTTCATTGCTTGGATCGAAGTATGTTTCACACAAGCAAGGTATTCCATTTCTTTTAATGGAACATTAATCGGCTATTTTAAATGAGCTAGAGGCGTAAGACAGGGAGACCCTCTATCCCCTTATCTTTTTGTTCTTGCGATGAATATTTTATCCCGAATGCTTAATTTGACTGCCGAAAGAGGAATGTTTGGTTTTCATCCAAAGTGCAGGAAAATTGGTCTTACTCATCTCTCTTTTGCTGACGATTTACTTATCTTCTGCAAAGGCAATATTGACTCTGTTGTAGGTGTTCTTACTATTCTTGACAAATTCTATAAAGTCTCGAAGCTTAAACTGAATCCTGCCAAATGTGAAATCTTTGCTGCGGGGATTCCTTCAAGAACCATTGAGAACTTAAGAATTATTATGGGGTTTTAAATTGGAAGTCTTCCTATTCGTTATCTTGGTATTCCCTTGGTCACCCGCAAACTTACCGAAAAGGATTGCCAAGCGTTAATTGACAAGATCAAGCTCAAGCTTCATCACTGGTCTAGCAAAAATCTAAGTTATGCATGCCACTTAGAGCTCATTAGATCAGTCTTATTCAATGTCATCAATTACTGGTGCAAACAACTAGTCCTGCCAACTTCTATTCTTAAAAAAGTGGAACAACTTTGCTCTAGGTACTTCTGGAAAGGAACAGATAAATCTGCTGCTGGTGCTCATATGAGTTGGGATAACATTTGTGTTTCCAAATCAGAAGGTGGCCTCGGATTGAATAACATTAAAACTTGGAACAAAGCTTGTCTCATTACTCTAATCCGGAAAATCTTAGCAGGAAACGGTTCCCTATGGGTTGCTTGGCTTAAGGCATATGTTTTTAAGGAGCAGGACTTTTGGCATTATAAAGCAGCAATTAATTTGAGTTGGAGCACCAATAGAATCTTAAAATTAAGGGCTGAAGCTTTTCCAATCTTTTCTGCCGGTTCTCCACAAGTTAAGGAAATTTGGGACTTGATTCGAAGCAAAGGGCAGATTTTTACATGGCATAAACTGATTTGGTTCCCAATGAATATTCCAAAAATCAGTTTGATTGCTTGGATGGCTCTTCTCAACAAACTGCCTACAAGAGACAGACTTCTTAAAATGGGAATTAGCACCGACAGTATTTGTGTTAACTGCAGTAACTCTTACGAGTCAAGGGACTATCTTTTTTCACAATGTACAATGGCAGTGGAACTCTGGAATTCAATTCTGACCCTAAATAGGATGAAGACCACTTTCTTATCATGGAATGAAATGGTCATAAACGCTAGTTCATTATGGAAAGGGAGGTTCTTACTCACTACCATTTTGAAAATTTCTTAGACTGCTGTTATTTACTCCTTGTGGCAGTAAAGAAATCAGCGAATCTTTCAAGGACGGAGTAGAACGATCGACTGCTTGCTAAAGGAGGTTAAGGACGTTGTTGGAATCCGTCTTGGGGGAACTAATATTAATAGACTAGATAGTACTAACTTAAAGCTATGTAATGCTTGGGGTATAGCATAACCAATCATTTTGTATAGGCTATTTCTTTTGGTTCTACAATGTTGATTGGTTAATTGGTTGTACTTAAACTCTGTTTCGGGTAATATAATCTGATTTATCCAAAAAAAAAGACTACATTTTTTTAGAGATTGCTCATATAAGAGTCTATTTTTATAAAATGATAAAATAAGGGTCAAATGTTTCATATATGCTAAAATAAGAGTTTAACCTATCAAAATAGTCAAATAAGGACCAAACAATTTTTAAAAAAAATGTTATTTTATTGGCACTAAATTGAACATATGTGAAAATAATAGGCCTTTATTTGAGTGTATTAAAAAATAATAGACCCACGCAATCCTTTTAAAAGATTATATCTCGTCTTAGGCGAAGAAGATTGATAGAGAATAAAACCCCCTTTTTTTATGTGAGAATGACTTATAGAGGATTGAGAAAATATTATACAATGACTTTTTCTAAGACTATACTTATCTTAATTAAGGATGTCTTTTGTGTTAGTGAAATGTTTTTTTTATATAAACAATCCGACAATGGAACATTTTGAATTTAAAAAGAGAATTCTAAAAGGCAAAAAAAAAACCTAATATAACAAGGATGATGTAGTTCTAGCAAAATTGGTGCCGCATGCCCTTAAAAATGATCTTTATGCTTAGGGCCACGAGTATGGACGGTAATTTAATCCAAAATTGATGGTTTTCGATCCGATTTTATTTGATAAGATTGAATTATTTTTACAAAAAATTAGATTCGGATTGGATCAAGTCGAATTTTTTAAGGGGGTGAGGTCAGGTCGGGTGGAGGGTGAAAAACTCTACCCGACTTGACCCGAGAATAGCAATATAATTTCTTTTAAAATTTTATTATTCTTTTTAATTAAATTCTTATTTTATACCGGCCGGGTTAGACTATATTCTAAAAATTCAGGTCAAGTCAGAGTCAGAAAAAGAATATATATTTTTTGGGTCGGATCGAGTCAGATGAATGATATATAACTTTCATATCAAGTTAAGTTCGAATTAAAATATATATATCTCCAAGTCAAATCGAGTAGACCAAAAATTCGACTCTAACTCGGCCCGTTCTGATCTCTGTTAATGAGCTTGAAGTCTCACTAGTAATGAACAATAATCATGTCTCACTAGTAATGAACAATATTCGTGTTAAGATCGAATATATACACCAATCATGTTAAGATTTTTGACAAATCTTAGAAATGGAATATGTTATAATAACATAATATATTGTCGTCCAGTGGTTAGGATATCTTGCTTTCACCCAGGGGACCCGGGTTCAATTCCAGGCAATGGAATTCCCCCCATAATAGATCTAGTCTAGATTGCTTATGGATGAAAATAATTCAGTATCTTTTCATGTAATTAAAATGAAAATCTCTGATACCAGTTCCTTCTTGTCCTTGAGCTTCAGCAATGGCTTCCATGGAAAACAAATGGCTGCAAGACGCACTAGCTCAAGCAACAACTTTACCGACGACTTGATTGAGGAAGTTCATCGGAAAATCGCCGGTGAACGGCGTCGTGACGAGTGGTTTAGACACAAACAAAAGACTGAGAAATAAGAATTGAGTAGCAGTGAGGTTGGAGTTTGTGGGTTTGAAAGCAAAACAAAAGCTTTAGTATTAATAATAGCTGAAATGAAAGGTTTTTAAAGATATATATTATTTTAATTAGTTTTTTAATTAAAAATATAGAATATATTGACAGCTTTCGAACACAAATTTCAACTACAAAATAAAGTGTGCAGAAAAGAACACAAATTTCAACTAAAAATGTACAGAAAAGTCAAAATAAAAATAAAAAGAGTGTGCAGAATTTTTAAGTTTTAATATAGTATATTAAGTGTTGGTATTTTTTTAAGGAAAATGAGTATGCAATTGCTACCTCGTAGGCCACATAGATCCGCCACTGATCAAGACCCAGTTCATCAAACGCCGATAGAATCCACACCAATTTGTCCCCTCCTTTGTTGCTGCAAACAAGTCTAACCTCAAACTGTTCTCCAATCTTCTCCACTTTCACCTCCTGCTAAGCTCCACCATCAATATATATACACAAACTTTAATGCCAGCATGAGAACTATTTAAACCAAGTAAAGCAAATTACCTGGGATTTGTATTTGATTCAATAGAGTGAATCAGTGAAGTACTCGTTTCTCACAACCCTAAGGTTTTGGCATTCTCTTTGTAGCTCTTCCAACTTGATTTTCAGCTTGTGGAAATGGAGAACAACTTTTTTGTTGAAATATCTCACAGATTTGGGGTTTGTCTGCATAAGGTGAAGGCGCTTTCTGCGAGATGCCGCTGTTCTCCTTAGCTTAGTAACCATATTTTCTTTTACCTTATTCTCTTTCCGGTGGCCTAACTTTTATAGGATGGAAGAAAGGGTATGTCTTGGAATTCAACATTTGTTTGCTATTGTGCTGTTATGTCGGAATGATTGTCAGATATTTAATCAGATAATATGGACATGTGACACAAGCTGTTGGAAAGTAGTTGTTGAAATGGTAAGAGACAAAAAGGGTTTCATTGATTTAACAGTAATAATTAAGGGTGTTGCATATAAACCAACCGACAATGGAGTATGGACAAGGGCAGGGTCATGGCTGGGGGCGTAAACTACGCGACCGGGCCTCAAAAAATGGGGCTCCAAAAAAATATATAGTGGCGTTTTACCAATAAACGTCACTATAGATAGACCTATTGCGACGTTTTTTCAAAAAATGCCACTATTATTGCGGCTTTATTGATAAAACGCCATTATAGATGGATTTATTGCGGCGTTTGTCAAGAAAACGCCACTATTATTACCCCGAAATCGAATATATCTAGAAAATAGGGGTACCTTTATACGAATTTGTACAGGGCCCCCGAAAACCCTGCCACGGCCCTGGACAAAGGGGTGTTGTTGACGACGATGTAAGGAAACAGGGACACTTGGGGGTTATGGAGAAACACCAAAATGATGAAATGGATTATTAGGTTGTCATAACTTCATTGTAATAATAAAAAGCTAATAAAGTTCTCACTCGACTCTAGATATAATTAAAGTAGTGATATTTGAGAGAGGAGATTTTTTATCATCTCATACAATCAGAATAATTATCAAAACCGTTGGAAATGGGCATGAAAACAGGGAACGCAAGTGTTTAATTGAGTACAAAGTAAAGGGCAGATCTAAAACATGGCCTTTCATCAGAGGCAACACTTTGTCTGCTTCCCAATTGGTTAATCATTCTTTCACAAGCATGCATTTAAGGTATGTTACCTTGGATTTTAGCAGGTCCGCAATCAATTCGTAATATACGAATTATGATGTTTTTATCTTAAGATATTTCAAACCTTTTCTCCCATCTGTTTATGCTTGTCCATTCGTGTTTGACGTGTTGCTAACATCTTTTGAAAAGGAGGCTTTATATTCTACCCAAATTTGTCTTGATGTTGAAGCTGGTTTTGCATGTTATCTAATTGTCCATGGAATCAGGAGTCACATGAGCCATCTAAGCATGGAGCCTGCAAGCACAGATATCAACAACTGCTTAGCCAAAACAAGGGGCTAAAACCTTAATAGTATTGTTTGCCCCCGATATACAAAAGAGAAGTAAAGGAGGAGAGAAGCAACTTAAAAGAATTAATGTCATGTTTAATCGCAAAAGTACCAACCAAGTTAGTAATATTGAGACGAGAAATGGAGTGATCAAAATCAACCATGGCTTTAGGAACATCATTACACTTGGTTAGACGCCCATCATCTAAATGGTCACCACGAACTTAACTCCAGCATCACAAACATACTGGACATGGGCTTCTGATATACCACCCATCTTCAAATGAATAACAACCATCAACCCTCCATTGTGGTCCATGGTTACGATATCTACCTTTCACCAGGAGACCCGGGTTGACCTAAACTCAAAATGATATGGGCCCTGCTTAAAAAATTCAAAAAAAATAACAGTAGAAACGGTTGTTTCAAACCAACCGTAAAAATTAGGATTTATAGTTTTTTTTCATTTTCAACTTTACATTTGGAAGCAAATTGTAATTTTACATTTATTAATGCATGACTCAACTATGTATTTACATTTTATTTAATAATGTACTATTAACATCCTAAAACATAATTTATTACTTAATAATTTATTTTAATTAATTAAAAGTGAATAAAATTCATGGTTTATATATTAAAATTTGCAAGCACTAATGTATTTTTTGTAATAATCTTTTTGTCAAAACAAGTATTTAAATTATTATTTCGTAATCACTTTATATCCGCATGTTAAAAAATATTTATAATATATTTTTTCTTAATAAAATATTTCATTTATAAAAACATTATTAACGAGATATTTTAGAATATTTTTATATTTTTATTATAGTTTAAGTTGATATATTTTATATATCATAGACTCATAGTATTAATAAGTGTAAATATAATTTAAATTCTATATTTTTAAATTAAAATTTAATGTCTATAATGGAGATTTTATCTTTTCAAACTCACTTTTTAATAATAATCTCAATAAGTTAAATTTTAAACTGCATTTTTAAACGTCTTTTTCCATCGCACTTTTAAATGTTACTTTTCAATAGTCCTGCCAAATTGAACCATAATGTTATTATTTAAAAAATGTTTTAAGTTATCTATATTTAAAATTTTTATTAAAAATATATAAAAGTATTAAATGTTACAGTAAATAGCATAAATACTTTATTTACCACAGTGTAATATAGATAGGATCTTCGATTATATATATATATATATATATATCCATGGGATCAACATTTCATTCGGATTTAATGGGTTCAGTTCCGACATAATTTGATCGGGTAAATTTTTATTATTATTTTGTTCTAATAATTTGTATTAGGATTGAATTTAGGGGTAAAAAAATCTGACCGAACTACCTATAATATTATAATTTTTCTTTATATACTAAGAATACTTATAATAATATATTGTGGTTGGTTTAGGTTTTAATCTAAAATATCGAATCAAATATCATATCAAATAATTATTTTTTTTAAATTTGGGTCAAATTAAATAAAAACTTTTTAAACTCGAGTTAGATAAAAATAAATCCTTCTAAATTTATATCAAATCAGATACGAGTGAAGGATTATAATATTTAAGTGTGCTAAAAATCTGACTATGTTTTGATCCCTACCATGGAAAAGGATCCACCATAGCTTATCCTCTAACTATTTTTTTTGTTAGATTCTTCTATCGGTCCTTGTACTATACACAAATCATAAATGTGGTCCATATATTTTAATTTGATAATTTCTAGTTACTTTACGTTTTAAAGTTTAGAATTTCAACCCGAACTAAAATGCTAGTGGTCAAATATGTTAAGTCAATTTATACTATTAATTCTTATATAACGTGTAAGGTATAAATTTAGTTCAATTTGATTACTCTAAATCCTTATCATCCACTATCTTTAGAGATGGGTGGGGGAAACTCTTTTGCCGCTCCGACCCCGTCTCGTCTCGGTAGTTTCCGACCTTTTTCTCGTCTCAATTTTTAAAATAAAATCCCGATTTCGACATGACGATGACTTTCACCGGCAGCAACCAAGTTGTCTGCTGATTGATACGAATTCCCATTTGTACAGGAATATGGGGAGTTTAATTTGGTGCGTATATATTCATCTTCACAGCTTTGGAAAAATATATTCATTGTCATTAGGGAGAATTTTTACTCTACTGTCTCCCGCTAAGAAGAGAAGGGAAATTCATAAAACCTTAAATATATAGTTGGTAATTTACATCGGGACGGATTAAGTCGATAATTAATAATGTATAAAATTATTTAATTTCATATTTTTTAAAGAGATGAGTAAAAAGCAATCTTAGAGTAATAATATGAAAGGGAGAGATATTAATATATAAAAAATAAAGAGATACACGAACCATCTATTCTAACCCAACGATCTTCTACAGTAAACAAAGTATAAGTGAATCCTAAGGGGCCTTCTATATACTATTTGTCTTTTGTTCCGACCTTTGTTGAACTGAGGAGCCGGTTCGTGCTGCTTCTTCGTTAGCTAGTTTTCGTGGGTGCTTTTGTGAAAGCGATGAAAGTTGGCCACGTTATGATCACTGGTCAAGTATCAGAGCATCATCCTGTTTGAAAATGTCGGCATTTATATACATAGATGCTTGCGAGCCTGTTGTTTCCTTGATTCACGTGGGGAATTATATACTATCATATACACAAATGCATGCATGCATGCCTCAATCGACATGCAATCGCCAAACTATATATATATATATATAAGTTTACCCACGTACCTATTCCTTATAGATCAGAAAGATTTTATATATGCATCCACATATAGTTAAGAATGATAGATCAGATATCTATACTTTTTGATAAAACATATGAACGACAGATGTTACTACAAAAAAGAATTGACATATAATGTCAGATGACCATGGTACTCATATAGACTATTTATTGCTACTAATACTTTAAAATTGCATTAATATAGTCATTATGACCCTATATGATAACCGAACAACAATTTCTCTGGATTCAAAAGGAATAATATATTTTA